GGCGCGCCGGTGGCGAGGCAGCCCCCCGGCGCACGCGATGCTCATCCACCCACGGCAATTGCCATCATTCGCGACGCAATTTATGCATGCACCAAAATTCTTGCACGACGTGATGTCGTTCGGCAGCGCGCCATGCATCTCAAAGTCTATTGCGACGCTCTCCACGCCGCCCCTTGAGGGCCGCTGGGATTACAGCAAGAGCGGATGTTCCAACAGACGGGGTTGTGTTCTACATGTTTATTATGACGTTTCTTGTCTGATCTTCAACGAGATCGCATCCAAGCCTCGCAGTTGCGCGGCTACTGCGGCACCCCGCCGGATCGCAGGGCTGCGGCCATGGGGTTGCGTCGGTATTCATCGCGCTTGCTGTTGGAGTCGCACTTGCTGTCGGGTGGACTTTGCACGGCGGAGGTCGCCATCTTGACCCTGCACTTTTGTTTTTACTTCAGTTCGCTAGTCCGCGGCGGGGCCCTTCCCTGCACTGGGACAACGCACCGCCCCTGGGATACCTCGCGGCCGGCTACCCGACTTGATTATGTTTGAGTATCCGAGGTATCGTCCTGTTGGGGCGATTATTGTTTCTTGTTTCTACCCTTATGGTTGTGGTCAAGTACCAGTTTACCGGGACAGCAGAGCGGGCTCGGAATGGAGAAGACGCGAGGGAACTGCGACGCGAACGAAGCGAGCAAGGGAAAGGGCAGGGGGTAAGTGCCCGTGCGCGACACGCGTGGAGGGCATGGACACATCGCCACAGACTGGCGCCACAAACGGAACGACCGGTGGAAAAGAAGTTGGAAAGGGGAACCCACGGGCGCCAGAAGTTACCAAAGAGCGCAGGCAGGAGGATGCAATGGCGGGCCCCGGGCCACCAAAGGTTCCCAGGGGGCCATGTCAAGGACGGTTACCAAGGGAACCAAGCACTGAGAAGGCACGCAACCGGTTTAACATGGGTTTGGACGCGGAAGTGGTGGAGTGGTTACTCGGCACCAACTTGAGCGCCATAAGCAAATCAGCGATGTTAGACGGGAAGCGAGGGCATATTGCAAAAAGGCATGTTTCATGCGCGTTGCCGCGCCTCCGAGGCCCATTCACTTGCCCGTCGGATTGGAATACGGAAAGCGAGGGCCATGCCCGGGTCAGCCGTGGACTTATCCGCTCACGATGAACACGAAAGCTCAGGGATTCAAATTGCGAGGCGACGCGCGCAAACGCTTGGAACATCATCGAGATCAAAGCGGCAGCGCCGCTGACTGCGAGCCCCATGCGCGCCGCCTTCAGCCGGCCACAAGCCCATCGAATCGAAACGACTGGGGCCAGGAAGAATAAGGGCAATGTTCGGCCACGGGGTTAGAACCTCAAGTTTGCGTTAAGTCTACGCGGGGATCAGAGACGAAGGGCCAAGAGGTCCTTCGAAAATCTTTCGCGGGCCCCAGGTTGGACCGCGTCGCCAGCGCAGAGAATGTCGCGGCACGACGACGCGCAGACAAGCGACCGCGATTTGCGCTCTCACGACTTGAAGAAGGCGCTGAATGGAAACCCATGCGGCCCATGACGAACAGCTCCTACATCGGAAGATCCCCCTGTGCGAAATGTCACGGACAGCGCCGACCCATCGAATTTACGGGAGGAGGCAACGCAGGCATCAGGGGCGTATCCCGACCGTCTTCGTCGAGCTATATTTGAGGGCTTGGTTCACCAGGCGACGGCCGACGACCAGTCAGGGCGTTCCTTCAGACTTTGCGATCTCGAGTTCAATTGGGCGAACTAGAACGGGCCCAATGGAGGCGACGAAGTTAATGAGGTCGGGCGCGAACCAACCGAGCATGGAAATGGGCCCGCGTTCATCTGGAACAGAAAAGATCACGGCGCATCATGTCCTATGTTTCCAGGACATTCACGGCCAACGTGGAGCGCATGCCTACGCGGCGCCATTCGGGACTCGGGCGCCGGCCAGGCACTCGAAGATAGGTGCGCCAGCGAGCTTAGAAGAAAGGAGCGGAGGCGGGAATTCAGAGGAGGAGCACGCAACACGGCCAGTAAATCCACATCGCGCGTTACCCAAGAAACCCGACCTCACCTGTGGATACGCGGCCCATGTCGGCACCAGGGGCGGTTGAAAATTCCGGGGCGTTCGAGGCGCGCGGGGGCATTGAGGAGGCGCGGTCCGTCAACCGAGCGGACGCGCGCGCTGTTCATCGCGAAGCTTGAGGCGATGGATCAGATCGTGATCTCGATCCAAAACTCTCGTCACGCGCTTGGTGGGCGGAGATGGAGCAGTTCAGTAAGCATGTGGTACATGAGAACATGAAGGAGGAAGAATGCGGGGCCGTTCCCGGCAAAGCGCCCATAGTTACGAAGTGGATCGGAATCAACTGGGAGATGAGGCCAATCCTGAGTACAGATCCCGTCTCGTGGCCCAGCAGCTCCACGTACAATTCCAAGAAAAGAACATGTTCGCGGCCCTTCTTCCTCTAGAAGTTCCAAAACTGGCATCGTCCATGGCAGTTACCGAGGGGATAGGTCGGAACCGATGGCGGGGCGTGAGAGAGGATTCCAGTTGGGACCCATCGATTGTTCAACGGGCAGAAGTCTGCGCCAAGGTTCTGCAGCATCTGCATCAAGTCACCCGAAGATGACCGCGCACCTGGCATGCGTAGGAGACCATTTAATGCCAAGCACGGCACTCCGGTCGTCGCCAACTTCGAAGACTATCTCGGGTCGTTTGCATGTATGATGGGTTTTTTGGTAACGGGAAAGCATCACCATGTACGTTAAAACATATGGCGCGGCGGGTCTGGCCAACAGTTCACGGTGGCGACGTCATTCCATTGGGCAACGACAGTCATTCTGGCTGGTTCGAAGGAGAAAACAATTATAAATGCGAAGTGAAAATCAGCGGTAGACTCGGGCCTGGGCCTGGATGAAAAGATTCGAAGTCGATCGAGATTCCCAACCACATCGCTGAATGGAACTGGGACGGGCTATGGCATTAGAAAGTTAGGCTTGGAGCAATTGAAGATGATGAGAGATACCAGGTGGGAACCAGCCTCGCGGGGAAGAGGATGAGGAGCCCCGGCCAAAACACGAAGCTTGAAAGACCCAGCTCGAGCCAATTATCCTGCATGGGACCGCTTGGACATACGGTTTGAAGTGAAGGAACTTGCGCGCTCTACGTCAGCTCCGACCCGAAGGGCATGGAAAAGCTTCATAATGCTGGGCAAGCATCTCCAGCGCGATGACAGCCGTGGATACCAGCACTCGCACCAGGAGCGCACTCGGGAGTCAACAGCGCGGACCGACGCTGATAGTGCTGGACGCCAGAGGACACGCAAATCAACAAGTGCAGGACCCGTCACGCGGGGACTGCCCGCGATGAAGTCGCGGACTTCTACTCTGAGCCCAGTGGTGGTATCATCTGGAGAAGCAGAGTACTATGGAATGGTAATGGGTGGAGCAGTAGCGTTAGAACTACAAGCGGTTGTCACAAATGTCGCCGCCGATTGTAGTATCGCGTTGAAAAGCGATCCGAGTGCGGCCATTGGTATTGTGAGCCGGCGTGGACCCGGCAAAAGTCAGAGACACCGAAGTTTGTCAAGTTCGGCTACAAGAGAAAATACGACGAGGAGGCATAAAAAGGGTCAAAGTAGGAACACGTAGAATCTTGCATACGTTTTACCCAAGTACTTTAGCAGGGACGCAATGTGCATTCACGTGCGAAGTACCAATGAATATCTTGTTAGCGGACGGCACGAGCTGGCGCCCGCTGTGGAGCGCTAGCTTAACACACCCCAGGTTATCTTCGCGTGCCGCTTCGGCGGAAACTTGCGCCCAGGGTCAGTTGAGATCCAGGTGCTTGTCTACACACAGTTTTCGATCTACTGTGCACGACGTTGTGATATGCTGCAAAAAAACTGTATCGCGTGTCAGGAAGCCCCTGCACGTTTACGCCGAAATCACTGCCGCTTTCTGTCCGCATAAGTGATGGTTATGTTTCGCACCATCAGGGGTTAGGATGGAGTCCTGGCTTGCGTCCGCACGTTTAGATTCGCCACCCAGCATCTTATAGCTTTTCCTATTTCAGTCGCAATGTTCCGCTACCTTGTCGTTGTTTGTTGCGTCTAGTTCACCCGTTTCCGCATTCGGTATATCAACCGATTGGGAGGGTATTCTGTAGTTTTCCGACTGGTTGAGCAGGCGCGCTTGTCCGCGCAACGTTTGAGAGGCAACGCGCGAAAATTTGCACCGCATTGCGATTGAGAATCAAGGCGCGAGAATTTGCACCGCACTTTTTTGGCTCAAGTGCTGTTTTCAAACGGAAAACATCATATTTTCAGGAGGAGGAGAAAGATAAGACGGAGTGAAGCGACGTTGCTGACCGAACAGGTCATGGGGGTTCGGCCCTGGACATGCCACCTGGAGGTGCCACGGCGCCGCCAAGATGTGAGCGCACAGCCACAACGAAGATCGCAGCAAGGCATGGGCATCGACGATGCGCACCGAAACGGGACGAAGGCGACGTCAGACGAGCGAGACAGCAAGGGCAAAGAGGAGAAGGAGGAGGAGGAGGACCGGAAAAGCCAGAGATCCATCACCGATGTTGCAATACACCCTCCCGTCCCAAGTCCCGTCCTCGTACGTCCAACAATTAGAAGCTTTCCTCTTCATTACAGGAACGTGCCCCCCTTGAAAGACCAGGACTGTTGGACCTTGGCGAGGGCCCTGGCTTGAAAAGACATTGCCTACCTGGAGAGGGTGAAGGAAAAAGAGGAGGAGGAGGGGCAGGAGAGGAGGCTTTCACCCATCGGGACAGACTACCCTTAGCAGCAGCAGCAGCAGCAGCAGCAGCTGTAGGAGGAGGGGTAGGAGGAGGACCAGGAGGAGGAGGTGGAGGAGGAGGAGGACAAGGAAAAAATGACAAAACTGTTGCCAAAGGCCGGATTGCGCGGAATCGCGCGCGACAGCCACGCAAACACCCGTTCTCCCTCTACCGAATTCGGCAGGCCGAATTCGAGAAGCTCGTGGACGAGGTCAGAAACGCCATCGAGGACGGGCGAGCCCCGGCACTGCGCAAGCGCGCAGGCTGTGTTGTCCCAAAGCTCGGCCGGCCGAGGTTATTCGCCGAGCGCGTTCCACTACGCGCAAAGTGCCTACTCCAAGGGCTCCCACGAGGGCGCGAAGTTATTCGCGCTTCGCGGTCCTCGTTCCTTCTCCCCCTCCTCCTCGTCCTCCTTTTCTCCCTTTGGGGGGGGCGGCGCGAGAGCGCGAAGTTATTCGCGCTTCGCGGAGCACGAAGCGCGAAGTTGGGAGCCCTAGCTACTCGCGAACGTCCGAAAAGCCCACGTTCGCCTCGATGCAATCTATCTTGTATCCCCCACGGCGGCTCCAGGCCATTTGCGAGCAGCGACTCTGCGAGCAGCGGGACGCGCCTGCCTAGTCACTGCAGGTTCGTGTCGCATCGACGCGGCGGCGACCCCAGTGTGAGAGTTTTCTAGGGGAACAAAAAGTGGCATAAGCATAAAAACTCGGAGGTCCGCGCGGATTTCTCGGATCGGCGCTGGACCCCCCTCCCTGGCGCGCGGAGCGCGCCAGTGGCGGCGCTGGAGGCGCCGCCGGGGGGCCCCAGCGCCGATCCGAGAAATCCGCGCGGACCTCCGAGATGTTATGCTTATGCCACTTTTGATTCTCCTAGTTTCTCAAGATTGCACGCAGCCTGTGGCCCAGAGTCGGCCGCTGTCGAGCGATCTGCGCCGATCGTTCCAGGTTGAGCGATCCCCGCGGCGTCAGAAACCAATCGCGACTCGGGCTTGCCGTGAATCAGGCGATCGAAAACATGGATTGAGGGGGCGTGGATTAGCGACGGGCCCTTTTCCATGGGAAACCGCGGATTGCCGCCGCCGAGCGAGGCGGCACCGGCCGCATTCTGGGAATGGCACTTCCCCCGATCCATGGATTTGGCGACCGCGCGCCAAATCCATGGATCGCTAATCCATGTCTGCGCGCCCCCGAGTACAGGGGATACGGTCGGGAAGTTTCGACTCGGCGTGTCGCGCCGCCAGTTCTGGCCGGCCCACCGCGCTTCGGCGCGACGCGCAATCCATTTTCGAAAATTGGAACATATGCATTACCAGTGGCGGGCTGCTTCTTGAATCCCAGGACTTTTTGAGGGTCGGGGACGACGTCGGGGTGCTGTGGTGTATACTTTTCCCCCGCTTTCCCAGGGAAGCAGCGAAAATTGTATACACCAGGATCCCGTCTACACCAGGATCCGCGTTCCTGTGCGAATTTCAGCACAGGGTCGGAAAGAGCGTCGGTGTATAGAGTTCGTTTCCCTACCTTCTCCCGACCCCCTCCCCCCCCGCACCAGCGTCCCGAGCCTCACCTGCTCCCCCGCCCCGCTCGCAGGGCAGGGCTGGGCCTGCACGGTGTTTTGTGGCGATCTCGTGGGCCGTTTTCGGTCCGATGTCGCTTTGCGACCCAGGCGGACGGAAGACAGAACGAGGGAAAACGAGAACAAAACGAAAACGGAAAGCACCGGTTAGGTTCAGCCCTGTCGCAGGGTGTAGCGTGTCGCCGTGGCCGCCGCCGCAGCACGCGCAGCAAGAGTGCCTCGCCGCGGCCCCAACATCGGCGTCGGGGGCGGCAGGTTCGGCGGCGCGCCGGGAGGTGAGGCGAGAGGCGGCAGGCCTGCGGGCTGCTCAGAAGCCATGCGGCCTTCTGGGAAGCCTCGCGTGGTCGTCGGGCCTTGCTTCTCGGAAGCAGTGCTTCTCAGGAGGAGGGCGGGGCTTCCCAGAGGCCATGCGGCCTTCTGGGAGGCCTCGCTTCTCCTGGGGCTTCTGAGGGGGCCAGCCCCCTCTGCCTTGCCCCTGGATGCGCCACCGATGAGAGGGGCATCGCCCTGATCGGTGTTCGAGATGGCAGGTTACATCTGATCCAGCCGCCCCTGCGGCGTGCTCCGTTCGACACGATCGAAATGGGTACGGAAAAAACGGGGTCGAAGATTGACAGCAGTTCCTGCCCAGTCCGAATTGGAATCGTTGTCGGCGTTGCCGCGGACGCTTTCCATTTGAGACGAAAAGTCGTTTAGCCAACAGCAACCGCTGACAGTCTTGAACAACATTTGCTCTTGGACATCGTACCCATGTTTAGCGTTTCAACCCGCCATCGCGTCAACGGGGCATCGAAACGTATGCAGGATGGCTCGATCGAGCTCTGCTAGACAGGCTCGATCATAGTATTGTATGGCCTCCACGGACACAGGGGGACCCAAAGTTCTGGTCATGGAACATGGGGGCAGATCCAAAGAGAGCCCCGCCATGCACAAGAAGGCCCCAAGACGGTCACAAAGTTGCCCGCAAGATTCCCAAGACCGACCCCACAATGTGCGCCCAATAGGTTCCACGATAGCCCAGGAGCCCTCTGACACGCTCCGCGGCCCGTTCAGACGGCCCCGCGCCCGCCCCCAGAGCACGCAGAAAACAGAGATCCCCTTTGGAAGCTCATCTTTTGACGATGGGATACCTGGGCGCCTCTGGGGCCCTCTGTATACGCTCATCGGCGTCTCCTATGGAGCCGCTTTCAACCGCAAGGATGGGAATCGCAGTAATCGCCCCCTCCTAGCTGAAGGCTCAGAAGTTCCTTGAGCTTCTAACTGGTTTGGATCAGGTGGAGGCTTAGCTGCCTCGACAGGCCCACTTTGAAACGCAACACGTACCGTGCTCAAAACGTCCGTGTCAATACGTTGCGTGTTGGCTCAGCGTATTGGCCCACGTTTTGGCGAACGTATTGCGTCAGACATTCGTTCTCAGTCTTCGTGTTGAGCTCCGTATAAATAGGCTATGTGTTACGTCTTGCGTATCGGGGCAGCTCAGGGTGGAGGCTGTCTTTGGGCTCTCTTGTGGCCGACGTCGATCGGCGGCGCGTGCAGAGGGGAAGGCAGAGAGGTCGGCCCTTCTCGGAAGGCTCGGCAGGCCTCCAGCAGTCTGAGATGCTTTCCCAAGCCTTCCCCGAACACACGGACGGTTTCTCAGATCCGAGGTTGGGATTTACCCGTATCCACCGCCTGGGGGATCGGTCCTCGCGGACCTCCACAGGCGGTGGATATGGAGATGCTCGGGCCCTCGGGGGCAAAAAGTGCATCCAGATCCACCGCCCGCCGGGGCACCAGGGCTTCGGCTCCCAGGCGGTTTATCCCCTGCCTCGCACCAGACCCCTTCGGCCGCCACATCTGCCGGCGTCTCCTGTGGCCGTGTGCGAGTACACACTGTTCATTTCTAAGTCTTCGAGAGTTCTTTGACTTTTGGGGGGCCAAGATCCGTTCATCTCTAATCGTTCTATCCTGGGCCTCTTCCTGGCCACTAGGGAGCCAGGAACAATTACAGTCGGCGCAGATTAGTAGGTCGACCCTGCCAAATCAAGGGTACCCTTGTGTCCTGTGTCTCGCGATCCCTGCTTCCTACATTCCTGTGGCAATGTGGCCCTCGGAAGGGTCTTGTGTCCTCTCGCGTGTCCTGTCCAATCGAGTCCGACTGCAGCAACGAGCACAATGAGAAACGAGCACGATTAGAAATGAACGACGTGTAAGTCTGGAGCCTCTGCGGGGCCCTCCTCGGACGACGCGTCCCGCGGCGCTCCGAGGCGGGCCGCACGCCCGCCGCCCGGAGCCCGGAGCCACGGAGCCCCAGCTGCCTCGGAGCGCCGGCACCCCCGACGGAAGGAGCGGGGTCCGCGGGCATCCATCTGGCAGTGCCGAGAGGGGTCACCACCACGAGGTGGACGGAAGGCGCACGCTTCTTCGCATCGTCATCATCATGACCACCATTATCATCATCATCATCATCATCATCATCATCATCATCATCATCATCATCATCATCATCATCATCATCATCATCAGCATCAGCATCAGCATCAGCATCAGCATCAGCATCCTCCTCCTCCTCTTCCTCCTCATCATCGTCATCGTCATCGTCATCGTCATCGTCATCATCAGCAGCATCATCATAATCATCATAATCACCACCTTCATCATCAGCAGCACCATCATCATCATCATCATCAGCATCATCATCATCACCAGCAGCATCATCGTAGCGCTGCCGTGTTGCCCTTGCCCCTAAAGCAGCGCGGTATCGGACTCTCTTGAGAGAGCAAGTGGGACCATCGGGCGGGCCAACACTTTCACACGATGATGTCTTAGCCCCGAGGAAGAAACACGGCCGCTCACAAGGCGGCATGACCAAGAACGTGCCGATCAACAACCTCGGCACCGTCGCCAAGTCTGGCATCAAGGCCTTCACGGAGGCAACGGCAGCTGGCGGCGACATCTCTATGACCGGGCAGTTCGGAGTCGGATTGTATTATGCGCATGTTGTCCCAGACAAGGCGTGCCTGATGGACAAGAACAAGGACGACGAGCAGTACCTCTGGGAGTCTGGAGCTGGCGGCCCCTTCACGGTGCGAAAGGACACAGAGATGGCGCACGGCGAGATCAAACGCGGCACCAAGATCACCTGTTATTTGAGAGAGGACCAGTCGAAGTCCTTGGAGGAATGCCGTCTGAAGGATTATGTCAAGAAGCATTCGCAGTATACCGGATTCCCTCTTGAGTTGTGCGTCGAGAACTCCAAGGGGAACGAGGTTACGGATACCGAAAATCAGGAGGAGGAGGAGGAGGACAAGAAGGACGAGGAGAAATTATGCGACGAGCCTACGGTCGAGGAGGTCGACGAGAAGACGGAGAAGGAGGAGAAAAACAAAGAAAAAAAAGTAGGCTTTTCAAGAGTGTGAGCACATCAACAAGAACAAGCCGATGTGGATGCGCAATTCCGAGGACGTGACCAACGAGAAGTACGCCTCGTTATATTATTCCCTGTCAAACGACTGGGAGGACCACCTGGCCGTGAAGCATTTCAGCGTCAAGGGACAGTTGGAGTTCCGCGCCGTGTTTTTTCATGCCACGGCGGGCACCTTTCAACCTGTTCGAATCCAAGAAGAAGAAGGAGCGCAAGAGAATCGAGCTGAACTTGCGGCGCGTATTCATCATGGACGACGGTGACGAGATGATGCCCGAATGGCCCAATTTCGTGGAAAGCGCTGTTGGCTCCGACGGTCTGCCGCTGATGTTGGTTTGACTGGTGCACTGTCCGCTTCACATGACGTGAGCGGCGCCATGAGGTCAGTCCTCGAGGGCCCCGAGCGCCTTCCCCCTGCTGGAGTCTCTGGGCTCTATGGAAGGGGTTGCGCTCTGGAGGCCTGCGCGATAGAGCCCCACGTCTTCTACGTTGTACATGCGTGTGTGGTGCGTCAAGACACAGGGCGTGTTGGCCGAAGGCTTGTGGTGGCCCATTGGCCCGAGTTCCACGATGTGCAGTTCATTGCGTTGCACTTGTGCTACCCAGGGAGCTCACGTGGGGGTTGGATGAGCAAATGAATCATCATCGTCATCGTGGCCGTCGTCGAGATCGTCCTCATCGTAAGCATCATCATCGTCCACATCATCAATATCAGCATCATCGTCATCAACATCATCCTCTCCAATAGCATCAACATCATCATCAGCATCATCGTCATCAGCACCAGCATCCGCATATTGATCTGCACCGCCATCGTCGTCGTGAATACCTGTTCTTTGCTGCTGCTGCTAAGGGTCCTCCTCCTCTCCCCCCCTTTATGCCCCTGCCGCTCGTCCTTCTCAAGTCGTCCGAGCCCAGCGCGGCCGGAGAGATGGAGGTTCGACCCCCCCCGCGAGAGAAGCTCACGACGGCGGGCCCCATACCCGATCAGCGCATGCCCGCGGCCGACCGCCCGCGGCGCCCGATGGGGCCGCTGGTCGCCCAGCACAGCCCACTGCTCGTCCGGCGCATGGCCGCATCGCAGCCGCGTTCTTGTTTGAAGCGCCGGCGGATCGGCGATTGGTGGCCACCAGTGGGCCGCCTCGAGGATCCGGGCACCCGAATGTTCCACGGTAGAGCTGGTCCGGGCAGGGGCCCGCTGGGCGCCCCAAAATTTGATCCGGGAGATTTGTGGAACGGTTTGATCCGGGATTGCTTCTGTTTCGGGAGACTTCTGGACGGCATCTACACGGGGCAGACCATGATCAGAAAAAGCTCGGGCTGAGCGAAGTAACTCTGGGGAGAAAACGGGACACCCGAATCAGACGTCATCCCTGACGACCTCCTGCCTTGGTAATTACGGAGGGGGCGCTCCTTTTTAAGCAATGTTTCCCACGAAGCTTCAGACGTTGGAGGATTCCTTACCTGGTGAGGGCAGCGGCGCCGATATCCACGGCCAACCCACGATTGCACTTCCATCAACTTCCAGGTCCAGGACTCCTGATCCAAAAGTTCCTTCTCCAATGCCCTCACCGTAACTCGGGACTCTGAAGAACACCGAGCTCCTGACGTTGCCGCTTGCGCTCCCGGCAGCGGGCGGCGGCGCCGCGCCGCCGGAGCGGCCTTCGCGGGAACCCGCGAGGCCGGGCGACGAGGAGGGCGACGGCGAGGGGAGCGGCAGCGGCGGCGAGGGCGAGGAGGTTGCGGAGGGCGCGGCAGGCCCGCTCCCTCCGCCCGCGGGGCAGGGCGCAGCTGCCGGGGACGTCGGCGAGGAGGGCGAGGGGGGCGCGGCGGGCCGGCTCCCCGAGCCCGCGGCGGGGCGGGGCGGCAGCGGCGGCGAGAGCGAGGAGGACGAGGAGGGCCTTGAGCCCGGGCCCGCAAGGCCGGGCGCAGCCGCCGCGGGCGTCGGGAGCCCGCCGGGCGGCCGCAGGGTCTGCTGGGCGAGCCGGGCAGCGATCGGCGTCTGCATCGCGGCCTCCGCGGACCTCGCCGGCGTGCGGGCCGACGGTGGGCGCGGCAGCGCAGCGAGGTCGCCGAGGGCGCAGCGCGCGCGATCGCCGGCCAGCGGGCAGCAGCGGAGGCGCGCCAAGGGGGGCAGGGCGAGGAGGGCGGCCTTCTTCGGAGGGGCAGCAAGTTATGATAACGATACGCTCCAAGCTTTCCCAGATGTCTTCGTGTCCCGCGCAGACTCCAGGAGCAAGGGCCGCTAGATACTCCAGAACCCCTGCAACGCATCCTGAGCTTATCGTATCGTATCGTGGCACCCGTCTCGTTCTACTTCTCAGATGGCAGGCAAGTTCGTAAAGGGGAATGGAAGCGTCTGGGAAAGCTTATGAGAAGGCCACGGGGGTTCGAAGAAGCCTTTGCCTTCTCAGAAGGCCACCCCCATCGGCAGATCCCCTCTTGCGCGCCGCCAACAGCAGGGGCCCACAGACGTGGCGCTCGCGGTGGCCAGGGGAAGCCGCAAGTCCGAGGCTGCCATCACGCTGCTCTGGGGAAATCGGGTCATCTCTGGGGCCCTCGCAGGCCACAGGCAGCTGCTGCGGGACGTGCTGCCCGATGTCGCCAGTGTCGTGGCTGCCGGGTGGCGCGGGGTCGATTTGCTCAAGTGGCTCTGCAGCATCGGAGAGGATCGCATTGCGTGGAGCCTCGAGGTGCACGACATCCGGCTCATGCGCAACGCGCTGGAGGGCCGCGCTGCTCGGGAGCTCGAGGCCCAGCCCGCGGCGCCTGGCGCACCGCTGCCCGCGGGGCCATCCGCAGTGCGCGCTGCGCTCACGGAGGCGCGCTCGCTGTGGGCGCGGCTCGAGGCGGATTGCGGGGCGCTGGCCACTTACGCGCTTCTTCGGCGTGCCCAGGTGATGGTGGCCATCATGGAGGGGTCCGGAGTGCCCTTCAACGGCGACGGCCTCGCCGCTCTCAGCGCGCGCTGGCGCTCCGAGCTGCAAGAGGCCGAGGCCGAGGCGCAGGAGTCCCTGGCCGCGGCGCCGAGGGCGCAGGGCCGCTCGCGGGCCGGGCCGGTCAACCTGAAGAGCGCGGCCCAAGTGTCCGCGGCGATCGCTTCCCAGCTGGACGCGGAGCAGCTCGAGTGCTGGCCACGGACGCCGTGCGGCGCCCTGAAGACCGACTCGCAGACGCTGTCGCTGGCCAACGCGCCCTTCGCCCGCAAGGTCTCAAGGTGCCGCGAGCTGTCCCACGCCCTCTCCCACTACGGCCCCTACAAGTCCGCCGCGACCGCGGGCGGAGGCCGCCTCTTCCCAGCGTACCACCTGGGCGGCGCCGTGACGGGGCGGATGTCGTCGTCGAATCCCAACCTGCACAGCACGCCCAGGGACGCGCAGTTCCGCAAGCTGATCCACGCGCCTCCCGGCGGCAAGCTCGTGAAGGGCGATTTCTCTCAGATCGAGCTGCGGGTGTTGGCCGAGGTCTCCGGCGACAGCGCCATGCAGGGCGCGTTCGCCCGCGGAGAGGACCTCCACCGCGCGACCGCCGCGGCCTTGGTGGGCGCCCTGGTAGGCGAGGTCACCAAGGAGGAGAGGCAGCTGGCCAAGGCCGTGAACTTCGGCCTCGTCTATGGCCAGAGCGCTGCCGGCCTGCGACGCTACGCGACGAGCAACTACGGGGTCGAGCTGACCATCCGGATGTTACCGGACGTGGCCATGGCCCAAGGCGCCCCCAGGGGTGTTCAGGGAGGCCCCCCACGGCCGCCAGAGGGCCCGCAGCAGCTAAACTCGGCCAAGAAAAATCCAGCCAGGCCGAACTCGGCCAGTTGAACTCGGCCAGGTCGAGCAGCCTCCCCCTTGTCCAGAGCACCCCCTCGCGAGGCCTTCAGAGGGCCCGCAGGGGTTCCGAGGCGAAGCGAACAACTGGGGGGCACCTTGGGCCAGGGACACCTTTGGCAGCACCCGAGCCGTGGAGGAGGCGCAGCGCGCTCGCCGACGCTTCTTCCAGACGTACACGGGCGTCGAGGCCTGGCAGCGGGCGCAGCGGGCGAAGGCCGCCTGCGGCGCGCCGATCGTGACCCCAGCGGGGCGCGCGGCGCACCACCTGCGCGAGGCCCAGCAGGAGCTCCGCCAGGGCGCCTCGGAGCAGGCGCTGGCGCGCCTCGAGCGGGAGGCGCTCAACTTCCCGATCTTCGAAGAGGATACAGCGGCAGAAACATACAGACTTCCCGGGAGCTCCGCGCGGACGTCTCGAGTAGGCGGCGGGCCCCCCTTGGCGGCGCCTCCGGCGCCGCCCCGGGCGTGTTCCGAGCGCCAGGACGGGGGGCCCAGTGCCGATCCGAGACATGCGCACGGACCTCTGGAAGTCTGTGTGTATGCCGCCGTTTCCTCCTTTAGATCCAGGGCGGCGCTGCCGAGGTCACCCTCGCGTGCCTCGACCGCCTGCGGGCCCACCTCGCGCCTCTGCGGGGCTGCTGTCGGCTCGTCTGCGTCATGCACGACGAGTTCTTGCTCGAGTGCGGGGACACGACCGCCGCGGCCTCCGCGGCTGCGGCGCTGCGGAGCGCCATGTGCGAGGCCTGGCTGCAGGTGTTCCCCGCGGCGGCGCCGCTCGGAGAGGCCGGGGCCTCGATCGAGGCGGGGCCGAGCTGGGGCGCCATGCGGCCGTGGCCGTGAGCGGGCGCGGCTGCGAGGGGGACCTCGGTCGAGACGCGCTTCGGCTGGGGCGCTCCGCGGCCGCGGCCATGAGCGGGCGCGGCGGCGGCCGTGGCTGTGAGAAGGGCGCGGCTGCCGAGGGGCGCGGCGGGCCAGAGCGGCGCGCGGTCGCGAGCTCCGAGCGCCCGCGCACCGGCGCGCCAGCCAGCGCGCCTCCGGCGGCAGCGGCGGCGGCTGGCTCGGCGGGGGAGAGCCAGCGGGGAAGCATCTGCAGGTTTTTGCACGCGGCTGTCACAATTCATGCCCATGGTGGCGCAACCGTCGCAGTCGGCGCGCGCCGCCACATCCTCCCCCCCTTCTGCTTTTGATCGCTATCATCATGCTGGTGGTGTTCATCTTCTGGCTGCTCCTGCTCGGGAGGCTTGGGTTTCTGAGAGTCGATGTCATCGCACGCGAACCGTATTTCGCCAAGCAGTGTTTGCACTAATGGGCGACCAGAAATGCGCCGACCGAAAGTGGAGATTTCTGGAATCTGGAATTCTGAAAACTAGAGCCAGCCCTTCATGTAAATTGTCAGAACACGCAACATTCAGCATTCCAGACATTTTGCCGATGATAGTTCTGGCAGGCACATATTTGGGCATTGCAGCGCTATAGAGTTGCTGCGACTTGTTGGTGCGCCCACTGTCGTTTCAGATTACGCTCCCAATTGTAGCATGAACAAATTGCAGCGTTGGAAGACTGACTGGCATCACAAGGCGTGCAGTCTACATCTGGTCCACTCAATAGGTCATTTCCACCAGCACTAGTGAGGCAGAACGAACCGAAACGAGTTCGCTCTTGATATGCCCAAGCGTCAAGGGAAGGAGAAGACGGGAGGACTGAGAGGGGGGACGACGGACCGATAGTACAAATCGTGTGCGCTCCAACGGGTCCACCCACCAGGTCACCTCCACGGTCGAGCTATGGTTGCGGAGCCACCCTGGTCCACCACGTTGGCTGCAGCTTCAGACCACTCAGAGCGGGGGAGGGAGGGGGGAGAGGCGAGAGATGGGAGGTGCAGGAGCCTGGTCGGCATGAAGGAATGTCCGGGAATCAGTGAGATCAACTTTGAGAGCACCGCACCCACCAATCTGCAATAGGCGAGTCCCTGCGTCGTGCCGAGGTGTGGGAGGCGGCCACATCTTGCAAAGCTGAGACAAACGCACAGGACGGACGAGCAGGGAGGGGAGGAGACGAGGGGAGGCTGAAGATCTTGGCCGCTCCAAGACCGCAGATTTGAGGTCACAGGTACGCTTGTCATGGATCGTTGTGTTGTGGGCGCCCATAGATGGGTGGCCGAAAGCCGCCGTAACGAGCAAACGTGGCAAGCCACCCTCCAAGTTCGCGCCCAATCGCCGATCAAGGCCCTTCTGACCACCCATCCCAGAGTCTACTCCAGGCACCGCGGGCACCAGCGCAGCAGAGGGAGGAGGAGGGAGGCGAACAAAAGCAGGCGCCAGACAAGAGAACAGCATTGCAAACCAAACGGTCGCCGACGCCTGTGCTTCGTGTATTTGGAGTGGGGAGGGAGGGAAGAGACGCCCTCCCCTCTTCCTCTAAGAAGCCTCCCCCCCTCCCCTTGGCGGAGCGAGATGGGAGTGAGATGCTCGAAGCACTGGGCTGTGGCTGTCGCGGAATCGGTGCGCAGCCTGGCCAGGACCTTGGTGGCCAGTCCACGATTGCGCCGCCGGAGGAGGAGGAAGAGGAGGAAGAGGAGGAGGACCGTATCCATTTTGGTTTAAGTCCGTGGCGGTTTGCTCGAAGGTTTGGTCGTTTGGCGTGGGGAGTTGGCGGACACGAAAGTTTCTCCTGGCACCGTTGCCAAGCACACCACACGTTGGTGTTATATGTATATAAACATATATACATATATACGTATGTAAATGTATATAAAAAAACGTACACAAGTATATATACATATATATATACATATATATACACATACATATATATATATATATATATATATATTATATATAGGTGTGTGTGTGTATTATTGTCTTGCCGTTCTCTACACACGACATGGATGGTTCTCATGTTTGGGCGCCACTAAGCGGCGCGGGTACGAAGGTCGCCACGAATGGAGGACGTCGTGTCGGATTTGCGGGCGTCAGCCCAACAAGCCGCCCACAGCTCTGCATCGGCCTCCTCAAGGGCAGTGGGCCGGGGATCCTGGGCGTGCTGCTCGGTCTCCTGTTTTGTTTTTCTCTCCAAGGATACTGCTGCCGTGTGTGATAAAATATTTCAAAATTACGCAGTGGTGTCCAACGGTTGGTTTGCCAAAAACCTTGCTCGCGGTCGCCGCGGCTCGCAGCCCGGATGGTGGTGACGCTATTCCTACGGCTCGCGTTGTTCGTCAGGCTTCCGACGCCGTTCAACAGAAGCTCGAGCAGACTCCAAACAAACATGACAAGGCAGCAGCGGCAGTGGTCAAACCCATGGGTTATATGCAGCTGTGTGCCCCCAACCTGGCAGAGTGCAAAGCCAATGCGGACGAAGCCGCCGCGACGGGCGCCCAGGCCTACGCAGCCATGTCCAGCCAAGGCGGTGGCAACAGCGACCCTTTCGAGAGTCAGGTTGCCTCCCTCACGTCCATGCTCCCCGAGGCTACCGACGACGCTCAAGCCCATCGCCGCCAGTGTCAAGGAGCAGATGGTCAAGAAGCGCGCCGAGGTCGAGGCCCAGCAACAGCAGCAACAGCAGAACGATGCTTCCCATCCTGTCCAGCATCCTGACGGCACAGGTGTACCAGGGATGCCAGACACAGCGTTTTGGGCCGACTGTGGGAAGCCAGAGTTATGCGGCAGCTTCCTCAAGGCCCAGGGCGTGGCCGACGGTGCCAGCGGCGACGACCCGGGTGTCTTTGAGGGAGGAGCCGCAGGGTATGGTTCGGCAGGTTGCGGGCCAAAGTTCAATCTCTATTTCTTCATGTCTATGTTGCCAGCCATGCAGAAGCACAAATTGAAGCTTGCAAAGGTCGATGGTGCCACCCCGTCGGTTTACCCCGATTCGGTCCTTCATTACCAGCAACCTTTCAGGCCTCACGGGGCTCGAGACAGCAGTCAATTCACAAATCGCGATCGAGGCCGACGCCGCCCGCATTCAGGAACATTATGTTGAGTGCGCCGGTTGGGAGAAGAGACTCCTTCGCACGGGTTGGCGCGCGTCCGCGACGCCAGCAGTTCACAGGCCAAGGCGGCGGTTCAGGTGGTCTGTTTCAGATGGCGCAGCAGAGACATTGGCTCTCGCTTCTCCACGAGGACGATGCCGCGTTGGAGACAGCTCGCATCGCAGGTCGGCACAGGTCAGGCGCATGTCCAGGTGGAGGGATTTGGGCAGCGGTATACGTCCATGACTCTCAGGGCCTCTCGGCCAGGAACTGGAGCCTCCTATGCAAGATAGCCTTGTGGGTGCTCATGCTCGGCACGCCGCTCATCTTTGCTGGGGGCTGGAACCTCAGCCCCGAGGGGCCCACGGGCTCAGGCTGAGCGGAGGCATTGCCGGCGCATGCGATCGCACCCACGATGGCCACGTAGACGAACGGATCTGACAGAGTGCCGGACTGCTTCGTCGCCTTCGTCGCCTCTGAGGGGGCGCTGTTCAACCGTCAGCTCGCCGCGTTCACAGGTGCCGGGGCCACGCCTCATTATCCCGTTCGCTTTGGCTTGCCAGGGCTCAAGCAGCTTCCGTCTCCGCCGAAGATTCGCGCACCGCGGGCGCCCCCTCGGCAGCGAGCCCGGGGATCAGGCAGCACGACAATCGGTGGCAGGCAGGCGCAAACAAGGTGCTCGCCGAGGCAGGCGCGCAGGAGCCGCGGCAAAGTCTCGCGCGCGTCGCGGGGCAGGGGGCGCGCGAAATCTCCCGGATACCGTCCGACGAGGCGCGCTTGCGCAAGGGCGGGGCCAAGTCGCTTGCGCGGCGGCGTTTGCCAGCCCGCAAGCCCGCTGCCCCGCCGCGCCCGCGCGCTTCTCCCAGCGCCACTCGGCGGAAGTTGGCCGCGCGGGCTTTCGCCGGGAACCGCCGCGCGCCTTCCGCTTGCAGTCGCAAGCTCGCCAAGAAACGAGAGAAGATATCCGATGCCAGCGCGTCGCCCTGGGCGCTTCTCCTCTGGCGCGCCCCCAATCGCGTTCCCGGGGGCCCGCGGCTGCGCTCGCCGTCGAGGCCAGACAACCCCCCTGCAACTTGCAGGGTGCTGCCGAGCAATATCGCGACACCAGCTGGGTCAAGTGCCACAGTAGTTCTGGCGAAGGCGCCCCCTTTCAACCTTTCCAGGCCCCCCCCCCCCTCCCCCGCACTGAAGTTTCAACATCAGCGCTGGCGACAGCCATCCGCCAGCGCCAGCGCACGGGGAAGAGGAGACGGATCTCTCGGCGGCGGAGCGGAGGGGCGCACTGGGAGGCGGGGAGCCTTCAAGATCATCTGTTGTGGCCAACAGACACGGGCCCAGATCTGCCCGAATCGGACTTCGATGCGCTCGGCGGTTGTCTCCGAAGTTTGCGTGGAGCGTTTGAACGTGTTAGACGCGGAGAGCTGCTCATGGCGGCACAGAACATTGGTTTTCCAATTAGGAAGTTGCGGTCGTTGGCGGGCCCGCACCGGACCCCGCGGGCCCCGGGCCACGCCTGGGTCACCCCGGCCCCCATCTGCGAGCAAGAAGCAGTCTTACTTGGCTGTCAGTTCGCCACAGTGATGCTGCAGTTAGCGCTGCTCGCTCCATTGGACACAGCCTAGGCCGCTTTCCTCCTCCGCGCCGCTCGAGGGCCTCAGATTGAGGCGGCGGTCGACTCGGGGTCGCACAAGGCGGGGCCATCCTTGCAGGCGCTAGATGCGCCGCGCCAGGCTGCCCTCGCGTTTCACGGCAAGCTCGATGAAGTCTATATTCCAGTCAGTGGGCCCAAGTCGCGCGCGCCCGCCTCATGCCCGCAGCTCCGCCAGCAGATAGCAGAAGGTTTGAAGTCGAAAAAGGCGCTGCCGCCCAG